CCCACATGTCTCACCTCTCACTTCCTGCCTGTCACTTACTGGTAGGCAAAAATTGTGTTCAGGAATGCACAGCCCACAAGTGTGGGGGCTTAACACTCCACCAGGCCAGTGGGATATGGGAGCAAATGGATAAATGCTTTTCCCTTTGAACCCTGTGCAAAGTTCTGAGATGCATTTCCTCAAAAATCTCATGATCTTCACATGTCATGATTCCATGAGACTGAGAGCTGGTTGCCTCCAATGATAGCTGTTGGGGAAATACAATTAAAATCAAAGTCTCCCAAACCAGAAATCTTCTCTACAGGGGTAATAAAGGAAGAAAGCACTTTTACTAATGAATAAGAAACAAACTAGGATACCACACACATCACTGGCAATCCACAAGGATTGCAAAGACAGAAATAAAGCTTACCTCCTTATATATCCAAGCATATACTACCCATCGCATACATGTTCTCAAGATAAACAGTAACTCAACCTCAAGTAAGAGGACTTGACAGCACCATTTGCCACATGTAGTTCATCCTCTTAAATTTATCTGGTAATTGTAGTAACCATCCAAGTTAGCTTATTAGCTTTATTCAGTGGAAAAATTAATTTCTCATATCTTTTTGACAGGAGACAGTTTGGCAAATTAGAGCAAGGAGCCCGCCAAAATTAGGCTTCTGTCTTCCCAAAGGAGATAGAAGAGCTATCTCTTTTGATATTTCAAGAGGATGGCTCTCAAGCTTCCTGGATCATAAAGCTGAAAAAAAAAATGGCCAGCTGACTAAAGCCCAATCTAGTCTAATAAGGGCAACATTTTGAGGAGATGAGAATATAAATTTGCAATTATAAATTTTCTAAGGAAAGGTTTCTAAGAAAAGGGGGTAGAAAAAAAATCATTTACTTCGTTTTCAACAGACAGAACTAAATATCTTATTTTAAATTTGTATTTGTTCTTACATAGTCAATGCAACAATACGTTATTATGATGGCTTTCCCTCCTTCTCTGTCCATGATTCTTCCTTCACTTCTGCTCCCTAGGGATCATTTAACAAAAACCCACCAACTATGAAAGCCTGTTTAGTGGGAAGTTTCAGGAAAGACACTCTATAATAAAACGCCATAATCAAAACTAAAAGGTAAAAAAAATTGGATAAAATATTTCTCACTAATGAGAGATCAATAATTAATATTTCTAATGTCTTAAAGGAGTGTACAAATAAGAAAAATACTAACCCCAAAAATTATAAATTTTAATTATAATCTTCTTTTGTCTGTTTTTAAATATTTTAAAAGGCAATATTTTATTTAATCAAATCTAATATTCATTAATAGTAAGATGCACCATATGTTATAAGCCATTATAAAAGGAAAAATGCTGTATATTAAACCAGAGCCAATAACCCATTTTTCACTTAATGTGCATTTTTTATTTCATTTCCTGTATTCTTCAGGTCCAGAATTTTTGCTTAGTTCTATTTAGTTTTATGATTTCTCTCTTTTTATTGAACTTCTTATTTTGTTCATGTGTTAGTTTTGCTGATTTTTTTGTTGATTTGTCTATCTGTATTCTCTTGCAGCTCACTGAGATGCCTTGTAATAATGCAAATTCTTTGTCAGGCAATTCATAGGTCTTCATCTCTTTGAGGTTGGTTCCTGGAATATTATTGTCTTTCTATGATAGAGTCATGTTTACTTGACTTTTTCATGTTTTTTAAGTCTTATGTTGCTGTCTTTGCATTGAGAAGAATCAGTCACCTTCCCGTCTTTACTGACTGGCTTTGAGAGAGAAATGCCTTCACTAATCAGCCAAGCTAGGGGTTCTAAGACTCTTTGACCTTTTCTATAAATGCATCTGCTCCACACCTCTTGTTCTCTGTGTGGGTGAGGTGGAAATTCTTAGGGTCATAGGCCTTGTTTTGATCACATAAAGCCAGGCCAGGGATTGAGAGCCTCCTGTTTGTTTTGCTAGGGCCGTGTTCTGAAATGCTCAAGTTTGTGTGCCTTCTCCCAGTCCTGCAGAGTCAAGTTGGCTGTCTGTATGACACACTTGCACTTGCCATCTGCAGGGGACACTCAGGAAGTCAGCCTGCCAGAGGAGGGGTGAGGCATGTGGAGCATTTGGGATGCTGTGGGCCAGCTGAGGTGGGGGCGTTCCACAGGTGAAATGTTCCAAGTGGCTGGTGGGTGGCTTCCTAATAGACTTCACATAGCACTCAGTAGAGTCCCTGACCTCTCTTCCCTGTTTCTGGCATCTCTCGGCCTCTCAACTGTACTGATTACCTCAGTATTCTGGATGAGATGAGAAAGAAGTGAGCCTCTTGGGCACCAACCTGCATGGCTGGAGAAGTTGGGTGCTCACTTGGAAAAGAGGTGATGTGGGTAAAGTGAAACTGTTTTTCTTACCCTCTTCAATGCATCTATCCTCGAATTTTTTTGCTCGAATGGTGTGCTGGAACATCTCTGCTGGACTCACAGACTCTCACAAGGGTCCACGGGTAATTGTCAAAATTGATGCTTCTGCAGGGAGATGATGGTAGAAAGCTTCTATTCCACCATCTTGCAGTGAGAAACCTGGCTCCCATCATGTCATCCTCTTGTTCAATCATTCGATTCCAGTATACATGGATAGCAGTATCAAAATTATTACCCTCCGCTATGGGAAACAACTTTATCAACAAGAATACAATATTCATGTACAGTTTCTTTTGCCTGTATTCATAGATACTCCACTTGTCCCAAAGTTACTTAGGTCAGCACCTGTTTCCCCAGCCCCTTCAGTGAGATTCCTTCATATACATGTATTATGGTTATATTATTTTTCTTACATTCTGTATTCCACCTTGTTAAATGGAATCTGTTAAATGATTTTAAATCTGTTAAAAATCTGTTAAATGATTTTTGCATACATCAAAGTCCATTTTTTGCATTGTACAGCACTATGAGTTTTGACAAAGTTATAATATCATGTATCCATCATTAAGGTATAATACAGGATATTTTCACTGCCCTAAAAACATCCCTTGTGCTTCATCTTTTCAAACGCTCCCAACCCACTTGAATCCTTGACAACCACTGATCTCTTTACCAGAATATACAATATACATAGAATCATATATCACTTTTTCAGACTGGTTTCTTTCATTTAGCCACATTTCCAGAATATACAATATACGTAGAATCATATATCACTTTCTCAGACTGGTTTCTTTCATTTAGCAATATTCCTTTGAGATTCATTCACATCTTTGTATGGCAGAACAATGCATTTCCTTTTGTTTCAGAATAGCATTTCATTGTATGAGTATGCTATAATATGTTTACCTATTTACCCCCTGGAAGGCATTGCTTGCTCCCAGTTTTAGATGAATCTGCTACAAACATTCATGTACATTTTTTGGGGTGGATATGAGTCTTCAAATCAGTTGGGTAAATACCTGAGAGTGTGATTAGTGGATCCCAGGGTAAAACTATGTTTAGCTTTGTAAGAAGCTGCCAAAATGTCTTCCAATGGGGCTGCAACATTTCGCATTCTCATCAGTGATGAATGAGCATTCTTGTTGATTCACATCCTCTTCAGCAAAATTTACTCTGGCTATTTAAACCCAATGTGATTTTATTATAGGATAGCAGAAAGCTCAGAGCATTCATCTCTGAGAGCACTAAATCCTAGGCCCTGTGGCTCACTGCCTGGAGCAATGCCCACTTGTGCCATAGAAACTGCTCTAGCAAAAGTGACAGCTACCATTGCTCAGTGTGAGGTCTGCACACAGGTGCTCATCCACCACAGGCCTTGAAATCCACATGCTTTCGCGTCCACCCCTGCTAGGCATCCCACACCGCCGTGCATGATGGCCTACTTACGTCACCCACCTCCTCTGAGGCTGTCACTGGATGTATCTGAATCTATGTCCCAAGTTTGTAACTGTAGCCCAAAGGCACCTGTGAATGAGAGTCTTCTGGCTTCTGCCTTGCAAAGCTAGAACTCAGAAAGTGGAAAATTATCCAAATATAGGGATGGTGTTCAAAGACATTCTACATCTTGGACACCTGTGCATTATAGACTGTCACTGCAATGCATAATAGCAAAAACACTGGGATGCAACCTAAATGTTCAGTAAAAGGCCATGATCAAACAAACTGCAAACCAGCCATGAGAAAAAATATTACAAAGCCAGAAAAATTATGTTTTCCAAGGATTTCTACTGATTTTGAAATACAGTATACTCATCCTATGAGGTCACAGGGAATAAAGCAGTATCCAGTTCTGTATGCAGATGATCCAATTTCAAAAACAAAATTCTATGTATGCATAGAATGAAGCATGAAGAATATAACACGAAATACTGATGATGGGTTCCACTAAGTTGATTTTACTTTTCTTCTTACTCATTTTTTAATTTTCAATTTTTCCACAATGTATTAATTAGGAAAAAAAAAAAGCATAATGTGGCCAGGCATGGTGGTCCCAGCACTTTGGGAGGCTGAGGCAGGCAGATCACCCGAGGTGAGGAGTTCAAGACCAGCCTGGCCAACATAGCAAAACCCTGTCTTTACTAAAAATACAAAAAATTAGCTGGGCATGGTGGTGCACACCTGTAATTCCAGCTACTCAGGAGGCGGAAGCACGGGAATCACTTGAACATGGGAGGCAGAGGTTGCAGTGAGCCAAGATCTGGCCACTGCACTTCATCCTGGGTGACTGAGCAAGATTGTCTCAAAAAAAAAAAGTGTTATCCTCTCTCTACCAAAAAGATTTTCATATACGAAAGATTTCATAGTCCAAAAGAAGACGCCATTCCCTCATTGAAATATAATTTACTTAAATGTTCTCATAGATTTAAAAATCAATTATAACAAATTCTTTGAAGGAAAAAGAAGTTTTAGCATTCTTTATCAGCATATCTAATTGGTTTGAATTTCTCCACTACAGAAAGTTTGACTCAAGCTCTTACTTGCCAGATATAAGATATGGGTAAGCTGCTGTGACAAAAAGATTCCAAAAGACAGTGGCTTTAACGACTGAAAAGTTTATTTATTTCTCAAGTGATAGTCCAGAGGTGAGCAGCCCAGGATTCGCAGAGTGGCTCTGCAGTATGAGGTTATTCCATGACTTGGGTTCCATTTCTCTGGTGTCTCTGCCGCCTCCTAAGGCACTGTCCTCATGGCATGGCTGAAGCTGACTCACCTCCATTCACGTCCATGCTCCAACCTACAGAAAGGAGGAGAGAGAAACTTCAGGTTCCATCACTTTGTCTCTGAGAGGATGACTCAGAGACCATTCAGAGCACTCCTGTTCACATCTCATCTGCTCAGGCTTAGTCACGTGGCCACATCTAGCTGCAAGAAGGCTGGGAATTTCTGGGTAGCCATGTTCCCTGCTAACACTCTACATGCAAGAAAAGGAGAATGGGCCAGCACAGTGGAGTACCTCTGCAGTCCCAGCTACTTAGGAGGCTGACGTGGGAGGCTCACTCGAGCCCAGGAGTTGGAAACCAAAATAGATGTGTCAGGAAAAAATAACAGAAAAGAAAGAAAGAGAAGTGGGGGAAGAAAGGAAGAAAGGAGGAAGGGAAGGAGGGAGGGAGGAAGGAAATAAGGAAGGAAGGAAGGAAGGAAAAAAGGAAGGAAGGAAGGGAGAAGGAAGGAAGAAGGAAGGAAGGGTGCTAGGGAACAACTTGGCATCTCAGCTCTAAATATCCAGCTCCAGAGTGGGCCTCCAGCAGCCAAAGCTCTGACTTGCACCTGTCAACATCAAGGTCCCCTTTCCTACACCTCTGCCTCCTGTTTCCCCCTCCCAACCTCAAAGAATCTACTCCACAAAGCCATTCTTTTCCTATATCCTAATCCCCAGACTCTAAGTCTTTCCTTTCTTGGACATACAGCAAATTCCCTTTAGGGCATAGACCTGGGACGAATCATTTCCAGGGTGTCCGACTCAGTTCTGGAACATCCTCTTCTATTCTTTCCAACAGTAAAAACAAACAGGTGTCTCTCCCTGCGAGGGAAAGGAGAGCTCAGGCTTCCAGAGGATGAGAGAAAGTGTTTCATTTCCTCCAGATGGGTCTAGAGCAACAAAAACAAATTGAAGATAAATATTAATAGATCTCTATTCTACATTAAATCACAAATACATCTCTAAGTTACAAATGTGTTATGGGCTGAGTTGCTCCCCTATCCCCCACCCACCACCATTTATGTGTTGAAGTCCTAACCCCTGATACCTAACCAGCACCGTATTTGGAGACAGGGTCTTCACATAGATAATTAAGTTAAAATGAAGTCATCAGGGTGGGCTTAATCCAACATGCCTGGTGTTATTTTAAGAAGGGGGGATTAGGAAACAGACCCAGAGAGACCCCCCCACTTGAAGACAGGAAGAAAGCCACCTACAGGCTCAGGAGAGAGGCCTCGGAGGAGACCAAGTCTGCGGACACCCTGATCTCAGGCTCGGCCTCCAGATGGTGACAGGATCGATTTCTGCTGTGAATCTACCACATGGGATACAACTACTGTAGGCGCCCGGTCTGTGGTACTTGGTTATAGCAGCCCTAGAAAACGAATACAATAGGATTTCTGGGCATAGTACAGACATTGTAGCAGGAGGCTTATAAATATTTGCTGATTTATAATTATTGATTATTAACAGAGGGATTTAGCTCAAGAACTAGGGGCAATGAATTGACTTCCTGCTAACACTGGTCCAGGCAAGCTGAAGACCAAGGCCAAGGACAGAGCTCGCTGAAAAAGGCTCAGGGAGTGTGAGAAAATGTGGTCAGGGAGAGCATCTTTGTCACTGAGACTGTCTGATAATTACTCATGACAAGCAGCTGCTGTGAAATCTTTATCATTCAATTTATTTCAATTCCTCTGGAAATAATCTTAAAACAGTCTCATTTTCCAAGAGAGAAAAAAATAGCAATCCAACATTTCAGGCCAATGACCTGCACACCCTACCAAGAAAACAGGGAAGCACGCCTGGAGATGGCCGGTGCAGAGTTCAAGCTGATAACAGCCCAAGCAGCGGTGGCCTTGGACCTGCTGGGCTGGACAACTGTCTGTGTTCAGAAGTTCTTCAGGCCATTTTGAACAATGCAGAGGAGTTAGACGACATGGGAGCTCGAAGGCTGACCCTAGCCAAGAAAAGCCCAAAGGTTATTTCAATCCAGACGGTTCCATATCTGCTCCTTTTCTGTCTGTCACCTCCTTTTAGTCACAGCAGCTGTGGGACATTTCTCTGGGAAGGCAGCAGCACCCTGTTTCACTGGAACATGGATTTGTGTGAGGTGAGAATGCGGTACTCACAGCAAATGTGGCAAAAACAGTGGTGGTGTGTTCTTCTCCCCAAGACTTCAGTTTCTCAGAAAGCCATTTATGAAAAAGACTTAAAACCTAATAGGAATGGGATGGGGTTATAGAAACACTTACATATTTGCACCTATACATAGCCCTAGGACAAAAGCTAAGCTGTGAGAAAAACCAACAATGATAAACATGAAATGAATGTTAAGAATCCCCACGTTCCATGATTTCCACTCTTTTTCTTTTACTTTTAATTATCATTTATTTATTTTTGAGTCAGAGTTTCACTCATCACCCAGGAGTGATGGAGTGCAGTGGCGTGATCTCAGCTCACCGCCGTCTCTGCCTCCTGAGTTCGAGGGATTCTTCTGCCTCAGCCTCCCGAGCAACTGGGATTACAGGCACCTGCCACCATGCCTGGCTAATTTTTGTATTTGTAGTAGAGTCAGGGTTTTACCCTGTTGGCCAGGCTGGTCTCAAACTCCTGACCTCAGGTGATCTGCCCACCGTGGCCTCCCAAAGTGTTGGGATTACAGGCGTGAGCCACCGTGCCGGGCCAGTTGATTTCCACTCTCAACCAGATTTGAATCACCTGGGGAATTTGAACTCTGCACCTGTTAGGGCTGCACTCCCTGAGACTCTCCTTCAGTTGATCAAGAGAAGGGCACTCCGAGCTTTTAAAAGAAAACGCATATTAAACCTCCCTCCAGATGACTTTAATGTCCAACTAGGTTCAAAATATTGATCTGTTTTACCCTCTTTGCTTTGTGGATGAGGAAACTGAGGCCCAGGGAAGAGGAGTAAACTGTGAAAGGCCACACACTAATTAGTGGCAAAGCCAAAAATAAAACCGGCGTTCCGCAGCACTGCAGACCTGAAGAAGTTTACTCAAGTTCACCTGGTAACCTCGGTTGGCACCTGCTCACTTACCGTGTCAGAAAATCAGAAACAAAATCTAGACACTTTGAACTAGTACTGATGTGACATTTGGAGTGACATTTGAATGGGGACTGACTTTACAGGTGGACAGTTATTTAATGACATAACAACAACAAAAAAGCTTCCTGGTATAGCCCTTAAAAAATGGTAGCACATGGGAACAATGGACGCCGTGGGTTACTAGAGAGGAGGGTGGGAGAGGCATGGGTTTAAAACCTTCCCACTGGGTACTATGCGCACTGGCTGCGTGCAATATATCCGTGTGACAAACTGCACAGGCACCCCATGTCTAAAATAAAAGTTGAAATTGTAAAAATAATTAATTAATGAAAAGCAACAAAAACTGGTGACAGTGGGCGCAGTGGCTCACACCTGTAATCCCAGCTCCTTAGGAGGCTGAGGCAGGTGGATCATCTGAGGTCAGAAGTTTGAAACCAGCCTGATTAACATATTGAAACCCTGTCTCTACTAAACACACAAAAATCAGCTAGGCAGGGTGGTGGCCTACTCGGCAGGCTGAGGCGGCAGAATCGCTTGAACGCAGGAGGGGGAGGTTAAAGTGACCCGAGACCGCACCATTGCACTCCAGCCTGGGCAACAAGAGCAAAACTCTCTCTCAAAAACAAATAAACAATGTGATGACTTGAATAATACTGTATTGCTTATATAATGAGAATACCCTACACTAGGTGATATGTTGTCCTTGTGAATTAATACGGAAATGGACACCTGCCATGTTTGTGGGCAGAAAAACAGGCTTAGAATTCCACCCACCCCTGATGACTATTCTCTGCCTAGAACGCCTCTATGATAATAGACTCACACCCCTGAATACAGGGGTTGGCACATCATGGGACTGGATCAGTCATGATGCCCTGTCCTTTGAGGTTGGTAATGTGGTCATCCTTTTCCCAAGAGTGAAAGCTCCCTTTCTACATGAGTTGTTTCTCAGCTAGCCTGGTGTCCAGCAGTTGTCCATACAGACTGGGCCCAGCTGAGCTGCCTGGAACCTGTGCAGGTGGTCACAACTGAAAGGGTTATTTAGTTAACACCCCCTCTGCCTTAAGGACTCAGTATCTGTGGGTGAAATCCTTTCTCAGGTTTATCTACTGCCTGGCAGCCACAGCAGTTGTAGCTATTTGACATCTTGATGGCTGTCTCTGTCCTGTGCTTTTATCAAAAGAGGCTGAGCAGTGGCCTTCCCAAGGAAAAGGAGACGGGGATGTGTTTGGAGAACAGAAACAAGAGCCTCGAATACTCCAGCTCCCTTTGACTGTATGTTGAAGGAACAGAACAAAGACATGTTGGTCCCGTTGGGGCCCAGAAAATGACACCCTAAGTAAAGGCCTAAGAAGCAGCAACAGGCACAGTCTCTCCCTGACCTTCTGCTGCCCTCCTGACCCTCCTCCTTCATTCTCTCCTGAGGCAAGCGATAGAAACCAGAATCCATCTGCCCATGGGTGGGCAAAAGCCCTTTCCCCCAAGGCCAACCATAAAGTCCAAAAATATGACTGTAATCCCTACCCCTTTGCCTTTCTGTGTGATGCTGGCCATAAAGAAATTAAGATCCTCGTTTCAGAAGGGCCCTTCCTTACCAGAGAGATGCAGACAATGCCTCACGGAGAGGCCACGGAGAATCTGAACAGACAGGCTTCACAGGCTCTCCCCACCCAGCCTATTACTAGCATTAGACCACAGCCTTTCTGTCCAATCCCCTTTCTACACATCTGGCTATACTTCACTGAACTAACACATAAAAACAGATCATTTTCCCTGTATCTTCTGGTCAGTCATTCTGAAGGCTCCCATGTCACATAAAAACTGTGATCAAATAAACGTGTGCTTTTCTCGTTAACCTGTCTTTTGCATCAGGTGTGTTGGGTACGTTTATGATGGGGAGGAAAGAAATTGCCCCTTTCTGCCCCTGCAGCCCCATCCCTCAGTTTAGAATGATCTGAATCCTTTAGGCTACAGTTGCTCTTCTGCCCAAAAGGGATTTGATAGTGTTTAATACAGTTTCTTGGAGGCTCTAGGATAGAACTGAGCTCCCGCACTAGATTCAACAGACCAAACCGAAATGGAGTTACTCACACTGAAGTTTCCCACTGAAACTAAGTTGTTTTTCTGACTTTTCAAAAAATCGGAGCCAGAGAAAAGTAATAGCCAAATCCCCAAACAGGCCAGTTTGAGTCAGCATGGCAAAGAAGTTCCCTCTGCTTTGACCTGTACAAGGAAAAGTAACTTTGCAATCACCAATTCGCTTTTTGTTTTCTGTTTCTGTTTTCTTAGGCCTTTTCTGTCTCTAAAGTCAATCTCTGCTTGGCTCATCAAAACACTCTTATAGAATGAGGTGTTGCCCAATTCTAGAATTGCAAATAAATGCCAGATCTTAAAAAAGATATTTAAGCCAGCTGGGTGCGTTGGTCCATGCCTATAATCCCAGCACTTTGGTTACCTAAGGCAGGCAGATCACTTGAGCCCAGGAATTCAAGACCAGCCTGGGCAACGTGAGAGAACCCCATCTCTAAACACACACACACACACACACACACACACACACACTAGCCAGCTGTGCTGTCACACACATGTAGTCCCAGCTACTTGGGAAGCGGAGATAGGAGGATCACTTGAGCGCAGGAGGTCAAGACTGCAGTGAGCCATGATTGCACCACTGCACTCCAGCCTGGGCAACAGAGGGAGACCCTGTCTCAAATTTTAAAAAATATATTTTTAAATTGAATTTGTTCTAATTTTGTCTTTTGACAATAGGGAAATGATTTGTACTAACGTGTAGGAATGGCCTGCAGCCTGAGGTCTAGCTCTGCTTAGCAATATGATAGGTTGAACAGAGAATTGACTTTTGATTAATCCAGCCATAGTAAACAGTCTGTATGTGCTGGGGGTGTTTTGTACCAATCCCTTGCATCTGGTGAGGATGGAGATGTGTCAACAGTCCCCAAAGTCAGGTGCAGGTAGGGTGCAGGTAGGGTGCAGGGGGATGAGAATTTAAATCATGGCCTCCCCACGAGAATGGCAAAGACAAGCTACTTTCCCCCGGTGGAGTCCTCAGGCTGGGCGTGATATTATCGGCTGGTTATCCCTCGGAGTTCTGGGAATCTGTGTAGTGTCTGCCTTATATCATCACCTCTATGCACTTTTTTACCCTTTGCCATTACATTAAGTTTATAATCTCTTTTTACTATGTCTGTCCATTAATCACATTGCTGTCCCTTTGTGATAACATGTCTGGAGGTTTAGACCACAGTGGGGCAAAGACTGAACTGTTTCATGCTGTTGGATCTCAGGTTAAGGATTTTTGCAGGAGAATTTTCCCTTCAGTCTGGCTGTTTAGGCCACATGCTGTAGACAATTTCTGTAGGCAGCCCATTTGAAATTCACAAGCACACAAGGAAGGGGCCTCTGCACTCTTTTCCTTTCAGAAAGGCAGATGTTTACTGAACAAGCCAGCTGGCTCCACCAACCCTCGCTCTATTAACCTTGATGGCACTACAAAATGAAATTCACAGTACAAGCCAACTCACGTGACCAGCAAGTTCAGAAGATGGCTGGACGGGTCTGACATGACGCGGAGTTACACAGTCACCTCATTTCAGCGCTGCTTTCAAAAGTTCTCCGACAGGAGGCTTTCCAAGGGTGGTGAGTCCAATTCTCCACTTTGACATGTTAAAAATTATCATGAGTGATACTAAAAATTATTCCACAGATAGTTTTGGGTTGTATGCCAACATAATTTCCTATGCATTAAATGAAATTGCTCTTATAGCATTGAAAGGCCTATATTTTTCCTATGGAAAAAAATACATAAATGATTGCTCCCAACCCTGGCTGTATGGAACCTGTACTCCCTGGCAGTGGGACCCCAGCTAAGTCGACTCATGAAAACAGCACCACTTCTTTTTTGCCGTCAGATTTCAGAAAATGGTGGTAAAAATGAAATGGCGCTGTTTTCATGAAGCCTAAAATCATTCAAAAGCTACCAGGCCCTAAACGCTGAAGTTGCATCTATAAACGGAGACATTAAAAGCCTAAATAAATGGCCATCTTGGGAGGATGTATGCCCTAATAGGCTAGGAATGTGTATCAACAGCCCACATAACTCAGCCACTATTATTAGGATGTAAAAAAGAGTGGAGATAAAATAGCCAGTCTTCATAGACACACACCCTGAGAGAGGCATTTGTGTGCGCTTCAGGTGATCAGCAGCGGGTGGAGAAGCACGTGAAACTGGGTGGTGCTTACACGTTACTGAATTCTTGGTAGAATATCGCTGGGACCCAGCCTGAGCAACATAGCAAGAGCCCATCTGTACCAAAAACGCGAAAAATTATCTGGGCATGGTGGTGCACACCTGTGGTCCCAGCTACCTGGGAAGTGGAGGTGGAGGATCACCTGGGTTTGGGAGGGTGAGGCTGCAGTGAGCCAAGAACATACCACCACACTCCAGCCTGGGTAACAGAGTGAGACCCTGTCTCAAAAAAAAAGGAAAAGAAAAGAATATTCCTGTGGTTTATCTCCTCCCCATCAACCCCACTTTCTAGAGCAACTGACTTACCTTGCTAAGAATTAAGGTAAAGTATATGAAACACATAAATAAAAATAGAGTTCAGAAGGGAACTTGAGCCTGGGCGAGGTGGCTCTTGCCTGTAATCCCAACACTTTGGGAAGCCAAAGCAGGTAGATCACTTGAGGTCAGGAGTTCGAGACCAGCCTGGGCAACATGGTGAAATCCTGTCTCTACTAAAAATACAAAATTAGCCTGGCCTGGTGGTGTGGGCATGGTGGTGTGCACCTGTAGTTCCAGCTGCTCAGGAGACTGAGGCAGGAGAATTGTTTGAACCTGGGAGGTAGAGGTTTCAGTGAGTGAGATTATGCCACTGAACTCCAGCCTGGGAAACAGAGCAAAACTCTGTCTCAAAAAAAAAAAGAGGCAGGAGAACTTGGTAAAAGGAAGTGATGAAACTCAGGCAAATTTAAAGATGGAGAGTCACAGAGTCAGAAACATCAGCAAGTGAATGAGCACCAGGCCCACTTAAAGCAACTCCCGTGGGAAGGTAATTCTTGGAAGAGCCAAAAACATCCTAACAAAAAAGCACTAGAAGAATTCAGTTAAATGATAAAAGGACTTTTGGAAATTAAAATGAAAGGATTTTCAAATTTAGAAAAGCCATCATCAAGCTACAAAGAGAATATTTGCCACATCCTTGATCGTGGTCCGGTTGACCAGGCAGATGTAAAGTCTGCGCTAAATACAGAGCAGAGGCCCGGCACCGTGGCTCATGCCTGTAACCCCAGCACTTTCAGAGGCTGAGGCAGGTGGATGACTCAACCACCAGCTGAGTCTAGCTGAGCCGCTTCCACTCCCTGTACCTCCTGTTCTTCACCTGCAGAATACGCATGCCGGATTCTTATACTCCACTGCAGCTCTCACACTCCAGAATTCTGAGACTCCCAGGAGTCTTTGAGAGGTTTCACACAGCCAAGAAAATTGTTGCAGCTATATGAAATACTGGTTTATCATGACCAGTGCAGGGAGTCCTGGTGTTCGCCTGGCCCTGCTCCTCTGCAGTTGAAGAGTTTTAAAAAGTTAAAGAGTGAATGCATAGATATACTAGGAAGCAGACCTATTCAGTGCTTCTCCAGAAATCAGAACTAAGATGAATGAGTGGAGGCTAGGCATGGTGGCACACACCTGTAATCTCAGCACTTTGAGAGGCCGAGGTGGGAGGATCGATTGAGCCCAGAAGTTTAAGACCAGCCTGGGCAACATGGCAAAACCCCTTCTCTACAAAAAATACAAAAATTTGCCAGGTGTGGTGATGCTTGCCTGTGGTCCTAGATACTCAGGAGGCTGAGGTGGGAGGATTGCTTGAGGCTGGGAGGTGGTGGTTGCAGTGAGCCAAAATCATGCCACTGCACTCCAGCCTGGGAGACAGAGGGAGACCCTGTCTAAAAAAAAAAAAAGAGAGATGAATGAATGAAAATTATCAGGAAGCAGACTTCAACTCATCATGAGAAAATATACTTTGAACACTACTGAAAATATCAGCAATTATGTACTGCACATTACTTTGGACCTATTACTATGCTAATCACATTTATACATATTTATTCCTCATAACCAACCAATAAATCAGATACTATCCCTATTTTAATATATCAGGAGATGGAGGCTCAGAGAGATCAATTTACTTGCCCAAAATTATGTAGCTAATAAGTGGCAAAACTAGAATTCAATAGCGCTCACAAACTTCAAAAATCTTTGTTCTAGACCACCATACTATATTGCCTCTATAAAGCCACCCCAAATATCCAGGATTAATTGGGATTCTTAAATCTACTCATTGATGTTCATCAGCAGTAGAAAATTTCAGCCGATACCTCTTTTAAAAAATGTTTTTAAAACAAGCTCTGGCAAGTTTTATTAAAGAAAATTTTGCCTAGTATGCTTCTCATCGGTCTACTCTGGCATGCTTCTAATATTATCAGAATCACCTGGATCAATGACAGCCAGTGTGCATATTCTGTACGACTTTCCTCATGATGTGCCCAATTCAATGTTATTGTCACTGTAGTGATGGACACCAGTCTTGGCCAACATTTCATAGCATTCTATTTTGGATTTCCTCAAAGCTGGGAAGTTGTTAGAGAGGATGACCAATTTCACTTTCCTTTGTCTGATCGACTTCAGAATCTTCTTGTAACCCAGCATGTACTTTCTACTTTTCATAATTAGAGTTGACTAACTCCAGTGACTTTTTCATCTTGTGACTACCATCCTCCTGCCTAGGTGTCGGATGGCCCCCAACCAAGAGCAGCAACCAAGTTGGAGGAAAGTGAGAAAGGCACCAATACCTCCTGAGATATTATCTTTTTCCATCCACTCTTTTCCTTCTTGACACTGATTAAATTTAAATTAGACTTTACCACTTCAGTCTCTCTAACTTATTGCATATCTTTTTGTCTCTCTTTGCTGCATTTGGACTTCTGATTTAACTTCCAGGTCATCAATTCTCTCTTCAGCTGTGTTGAATTAGGTATTGAACCCAGCCACTGAGTTTTAAATGTCAGCTATGGTGTTTTTAATCTCTAGATGTACTATTTAGTTATTTTTTAAAATCTAACTGTAGTTTTATCTTTTCAGAGATATCTTCAAGCTAATCTTTACTTTTTTAAACATAATAAATGCATTAGTTTCACATTACTCCTGTAATAAGTGACTTAGTGGCTTAAAACAATACAAATGTATTATCTTAAAGTTCTGGAGGTCAGGATTTTGAAACCACTTTCACTGGGCTAAAATCAAAGTATTGAAGACCTTGCTTTCTTCTGGAGGGTCTAGGGGAGAATCCATTTTCTTGCCTTTTATAGCTTCCTGAAGCCAAATACATGCCAACTTGTGACCCCTTCCTCCATGTTAAAAGTCAGAAGTGTAAGCTCTTTACTCCTCTCTGACTTTTGCTTACATGCTTACATTTTTTTCTCTCTGACACTGATCCTCTTGCTTCCCTCTTATAGAATCCTTGTGATACATTAGGCCCACTTGGATAATCCAGAATAATCTCCCCAATCTCAAAATTATTACTTTCGCCATATCCACAAAGTTCCTTTTACCATATAAAGCAACATTTTCACAGGTTCCAGAGACTAGGACAGGGACATCTTTGAGGAGCCATGATTCACACCACTGTTGATGTACACTCAGGGTGAATGGCAAAATATTAAAGATGTATCAGGAAAATTAGTCTCAAACCTTTTGGAAGGCCAAAAGGTTTTATTGAGGCAGGCTGAATGTGGCAGGCCAGTCCATTAAGTTAGGGAGAAGATGAGGATGATAAGAGGCTTTCCCAGTTGAGGTCTGTTTACGCCACATCCCTTTGTCTCTTCTCTGTTTACTCATGTAAACTTCGTGCTGGACGGTCCCTCTCAGGGGGAGATCAGAGGGCAATTACCTGTTAATAAATAGTGTTTACCCTGGGCCCAGAACTGGAAGCTTTTATTATTCATATAACCACTCTTTTAACCATGTTAATTATCCACAAGTGTGTTAACTTAGAACCTCTTATAAAATCTTGACAAAATAAATGTGTGAATGGACAGAGGGTCTTGGTCAATCAGTTGCATTTCATGCTCTGAAAAAAGCCAATGGCCATCCCCAGCCCGCATGTATCACTGTAATGGTGTGAGGGTGCATCCACTCTCCTGTCGTTGAGTCAGGGTCTGCAGGCCAGACTTCCACAGGTGGTGGGCAATGTCGCAACCCACTACAGTAAGCACAGTTATTCAAGATCTAATAATTTCAAGATCTTAAAGTGATCCCAGATTTGTTTCTGTTGTCTGTTTCTCAGCTGGTTCTCACACATGTTGCTTGCTTTGTTATGTACTGGGTTTTAAAAAAAAATGGTGCCCAATAATAATTTACCTAGCATGTTTAGCTGTTTTTATTAGGAGAGTTTGGGCTGAAAAATAGCCCACTATAACCAGAATTAAAATTCAAGTCTCCCAACAATAGTGAGCAATGTGTTGCCCACTGACAGTGTGGCAGTCGCTGTCCTGATGGTGTTACATACATTCTGTGTAGGAAAAAGCCGTGGAAGGTTCTGTAACCCTAAGTACTGAGTTCCCAACCCCAGGACAATTCAAGTAGGGATCATGAGAGCTGAAAGGAACATCATGTTTGCTGGCGAAGAAACATTTCAAATTAGATGTTTAAAAATGACAACGAATCTGTGCAAATACCCTTATAATTATTACTAAAGAGTTTCATGCCCTTCACACATTCCTTTAGTCGCTTATTATTAGGCAGGCATTTTATCGAACACCAACGATGTATCCATTACTCTGCAGGGGACTAAAAATACAAGATGAAAAGAAATAATCTCTGACCTTGAGATCACCAGTTACTTGGGAAAACAGACACAGACACTATTACCATACCACGTGGTGGTCTGAGTGCTGCGACAAAGGAAAGCGTAGAGGAGGAGGTGGTTCACCCAGGCTTAGGGGAGACTTGGTGAAGACAGTGATGCCTGAGCTGGATCTGAAATCATGGTAACAGTTGTCTGGGTAAAGGCTGGGATGGCGGGAAGGGCCATCAGGTGGAGGGAACACTGTTAGCAAACACCCAATGTTTAGTAACAATACATACATATGTGGGTTGGGATCCCAGTTACAAGGCAGCTGCAGCAAGTACTGCCTGTGGCCAAACGGAGCCACTGTGTGAGCCTTTAGGGGATCCAAGGCTTTGCAGTGCCTTCTTTAAAGTTTTCAGTCCCCCAGCACCTGGGACTGATTGGGATATGCAGAGCTAACCAAGAAGAATGCCCCAAGCCTGGACCAGGAATAGTGTGGACCCTGTCCTCATTTCTTCCCTTCAAATTGCTCTTCCACCCTCCAGCCTGAATGCAAGGTTGACCAGATGCCCTGTGGAGCTCCAAAAGTCATATCAAAGGTGTTGTCCCCCTCGGTCCAAGTTCTAGGACAACAGCACAACAAATAGACAGCTCTAACTGGTCAGCATGGCGTTTCAAGGGATCCTGAGATGGGTGACCAGAACGGTGCTATGCCAGTTTGGTTGATTCACACTTGCATTGGACATAGGACAAATTCAAGTCTATGAACTACTAAGCACATGGCAGGCCTTTGTGCTCGAACCACACCTGTATGCCCATGGGTTGGCTCATGCCTTTCTATGTTCCAACTGCATAGAATCTGTTGGCCTCTGGTCCACAGCATCAAGGATGGCAGCAGGTGGTGGTGTTCTTTACCTGTGCACCTGCTGTGGCTGGCAGCCAGGGCAGACACTCCATCCTTTCTGCCGGTCTGTGCCACATGTAGGGCAGTCCTCTAGGGAGAACAGCACCTGTCTCCTCCAAGGGTTTTCAAAGCCTTTGCTCCACACTGTCAGCAGCCCTTCTGATCAATTTCCTCTTTTGCCTCCATTTTCAGAATGATATCCTCTCTTGTCTCTGATCATGTGGTGACATTTTGTTTTCACAGGTTGATCTTAAGCTATGCCAGATGAAGAATGGATCTTCTTTGGGTGAATAGAATCACTCTTTGCCCCTTGCCTAGCTTCCCCACTAGTGATGGCTTGTGAATGGAAAGGGTGAGGTAAGCATTGAAAAAGACCACATTCGAGGAATGTAGCAGTCATGGCGTAAGGTGATCAAGAGAAGACATGGCTGCAAAATGTATTGCACAATAAAACCTTAGACAGTAAATTTAAGATAACCGGAAACCATTTTCCTGCACCCTCTGGGTGAGACTTGCATTTGTGGTCATCATAAACGAATTATGGTGCCAGCCTTTAGGGAGCCGTTGGAAGCCAATATTCGCCAGGGCCATGATGGAAGATGTGGTGTCCTAGTAATGCGCTGAGCATGAAACATGACATCAGGGAACTCCAGAGGCAAGTTGATTTATAGTTTCAATCCTAACAGGTCCCGAAGAGCCATAATGTTGAGAGCAATAACAGTGTTGCTACTTTTTCCTCATGATGAGTCGTGCCTTGGCAATAAAGAACGTGACATGATGGCTCCTGGACCTGAGCAGGAAGAGACAGTGCCCAGACACTGCAAAGGCTCTTCATATGCCCTAACTGCAGGATTCACAAAGATAAGCCTCTCTTTTCTACCAATGATTCTAAATCTTTGTTGATAAATCACTAAAAGTTATATGGCCATAAATCTTATAACACATCTTTAATCAAGTTGTTTATAAACAACTTGAATATGTTTGAGATCTAGATGGGTCCAGTTCAGATGAATGAAACTTTTTTTTTAAGACAGGTTCTCACTCTGTTGCCCAGGCAGAAGTGTAGTGGCACAATCGTGGCTCACTGCAGCCTCCACCTCTCAGGCCCAAGCAATCCTCCCAACTCAGCCTCCCAAGTTGCTGGGCCTACAGGCATGAGCTACTGCACCTGGATAGCTTTTTTAAACTTATTTTTTGTAGAGATGAGGTCTCACTATGATGCCCAGGCTGGTCTCAAACTCCTGGGCTCAAGCAATCCAACAGTTGTTGAGACAAAATGCATGGAAGTGTACTGACCACGGCTGTAGCTATATTCGATTCCTCCTCCTGACCAACAAGAGATTTTAGGCTAAGTGGATAACAATGAAATGCTAGGCGTTGTGTTATGCAATTTCACTCTCTGGGATTGGTTACCCAGCTAAGGGAATGAAAGAACTTCTACTGTGTGAGAACTAACCACAGTGACATGACATCCATATTTCAGTAAATATGTTGAGTAAAAACTCAGAACGAACTCTAACTAGGATATGAGAGAAAAACAAAAGTAATCTCGCATTTTGTTCGAAAATACCTGGGAGTTCAAATGTTTTATCCTTTGGGATGTCAGGTGCAGTTAAAAAGCTCCTTCCTCTGGGTAACGAGGCTTTTGGAAGGAGGCCTATGCCTTTCCACCCCTTCTTTTTCTTTTTAACTATTAGGTTCTCTACAAGAGAACCTAATTTTAGTTCTATTTCTGGCTATGCTACAGTATATCCATGTTTAAAAGCCTTACTTATTTTAGGTAAAACTAACAATCCCACATTAAATACAGTAGACTTTGTAACTGTGGATATACTTAACAGTCAGGTGCATGTAGCTACTGGTAATATGAAAAGAATTAACTATCCATATTAGAAAATTCTCCAGCCTCTATATCCTCTTACAATGGAGGTGGAGTAGAAATAAATATAAATAAAAATGTGAACAATTTATCCAGAAGATTCACCTTTCAACTCACTGACCATAGATTTTAACTACAATGTCTGCATAAATATTAGCTGTGTTATCTAATCAGCTAATCATGCTGGAGGTGACTCCGTATGGGACAGTAAGATGTACATCAAAGATGAACAAGAAACCAGTGCCCCTCTAAAGATTGTTTTCTTTTAAAATAAAACAAAAAATAATAACATTTGGCCAGGCACAGAGGTTCATGCCTGTAATCCCAGAACTTTGGGAGGCCAAGGGGGCACAGATCACTTGAGCCCAGGAGTTCGAGACCAGCCTGGGCAACATGGTGACACCTTGTTTTTGCAAAAATACAGAAATCAGCCAGGCATAGTGGCATGCGCCTGTGGTCCCAGCTACTTGGGAGGCCGAGGTCAGGGAATCGCGTGAGCCCAGGAGGCAGAGGTTGCAGTGAGCTGAGATTGTACCACTGCACTCCAGCCTGGACAGAGAGAGACCCTGTAAATAAGTAAATAAATAAATACAAACAACATAAGAACATTAAAGTAAAATTTTAATCAGTAGTCGTAACCTCACTATTCTAATACCGTAGCGATTTTCCCCATTGTATATGTCTTCGGTTTTCTGCCCAGTATGAACATTTCCATGTGGTTGCCATCATACCATGCTTATACGTTTACAGTTTGCCTTCAAAATTTTCTATCATAAAATACTTAAAATAACTCACACTCTTAAAAATGATCATTTTTTTTAAAGGCCGTGTGGTGATAAACTGTCCGTCTTTTTAAGACATTCTCTTTTGGCTGGATATTTAATTACATATGCGCTCAGGAACCAGCTGTGATTAACTCTTGCTGACTGGTTTCATTAAGATTCGAGAACTGCTGATTCACATCCAAAAGTACATTCACCGTGATCAAATCCACGGGACAGAAGTCTGTTGATGTGCTAATTAATAGGACACATAGCTCCTTCTTCAGCTGCTTCATCTTTCAGGACTTTTCCAAACATTCCTTTCGGGAACTAATGCGTCCTTTAATTTTTTGTTCTTTGTGCAGCTTAATGAGGTCTTGGTTACAATCTGATTCAAGGGAGCCATGCCACACAATGCTGTTCTATAAACACAGTAATTTGACAGGTGATTAGTGGCTGGGCAACCCTGGCCACAGGCCCCAGGTCAGCTACATGTCCTTCTCCCTCTTGGGGCCTTGATGGAGCCAACAATTCTAAACAGTTTCTGATGTGGTGATCGACTATTTAGAGTGTATTTTCGTCTTTAGTGGGGGTAGGTACACTAACGTACTTGGGATTCCGAAGTATACTCATAGGAACTGAGAATTGGGAGGAGTTAATACCCTTGATCTTTTGCAAAATATAAAGTTGAGAGTGAAGACTATCTATGATAACTCACAGCAAATGCTATTGAACTCCAGCATTCCGTTCAAGCCCAGCTAATAAGCAGCCCTGTGACAGAGGATATGTGACAGAAAACCTATCTTGTCTGGATTAATTTTAATCCTAGTTCTGCCACTAGCACCTAATAACATGAAACATTTATCAAGCCTCTAGTATGGGCCATCACTGAACAAAGTGCTTACTTATGAAAGGTATTTAATTCTCACGTTCTACAAAGTAGAGACTATTATAATCCCCATTCTACCAAAAAAAAAAAAGGAGGGCTAGAAAAATTATATCATTTGTCCACCATTATGAAACTATAAATGGCAAGGTCAAAAAATTTTGACTTTAAATTAAACTATAACATGTATACAGAAAAAATGTGCATACCTGAATGTACAGTTTGGTGACTTGTTACAAAGTGAATACGCTCGTGTAACCCCAGAAGCTGTGCTCGAGGTCCTTTCAACAACTACCCATCACTCCTCCCCAGTGGTAACCATTGTCCTGGCTTCTAACACCACATCTTGGTTTTGCCAATTTTTGAGCTTTCGTGCAAGTGAGAATCACACAAAATATGGCCTTTTGCGTCTGGCTCCTTCCAATTAAGGAATTGATTCTTATGTGTGGTGTAAGGTAGTGACCAAGTTTCGCTGTATTTTCTCCATTGCCATTTGGTGAAAAGCCATCCTGTCGCCACTGCTCTGCTATGGGGCTTTTGTCACTGATCAGGAGTGCCTGTATGTGTGGTCTTCTGGACATTCTGCTTCGTTCTGATCATCTATTTGCCTCTTCTGTGTCAATACCACCCGGAAACCTTTCCAAAGTCTTGGTATCCAGTTGAGGAATCCTTTCAATCTTGCTCTTCTTCAAAAGTTGTTTGGTTATTTGAGCCCTTTTGCATTATCATAAAACTTTTAGAACCAGCCTTTCAATTTTTGCAAAATACCAACTGGATTTTTATTGAGATTGCATTGCACTGGAATAGATCAATTTGAGAACTGACCCCTTGAGATAATTGAACTTTTAGTCCACAAACATCCATTTATTTAGGTCTTCTCATATATATATATATAATTTTTTTTTTTTTTTTTGAGACAGAGTCTCGTTCTGTCGCCAGGCGCCAGGCTGGAGTGCAGTGGTGCGATCTCCACTCACTGCAACCTCCGCCTCCCAGGTTCAAGCAATTCTCCTGCCTCAGCCTCCCAAGCAGCTGGGACTACAGATGCCCACCACCATGCCCAGCTAATTTTTCATATTTCAGTAGAGACAGGGTTTCACTATGTTGGCCAGGATGGTCTTGATCTCTTGACCTCGTGATCCGTCTGCCTTGGCCTCCCAAAGTGCTGGGATTACAGGCGTGAACCCCCGCACCAGCCCCTCTTAGAGACAGAGTCTTACTCTGTTGCCCAGACTGGAGTGCGGTGGCACTATCTCAGCTCACGGCAACCTCCACCTCCTGGGTTCAAGAGATTCTCATCCCTCAGCACCCCCAAGTAGCTAGAATTACAGGCGTTCACCGCCACGCCCAGCTAATTTTTGTATTTTTAGTAGAGACAGAATTTCCCCATGTCGGCCAGTCTGGTCTCGAATTCCCGACCTCAAGTGATCTGCCCGCCTTGGCCTCCCAAAGTGCTGGGATCACAGGCGTGAGCCACCATGCAGGCCTTTTTTATGTTTTTAATAATGTTTTGTCATTTTCAGCATAGAATTCTTAAAGATGTTTGTTAGATTGAAATCTAACAAAATTATTTGCTTTGTTAGATTTGATGTTTGAGTTTTATCTTTTAAAATATTATTTATAATTGTAGTTTTATACAATTGATTTTTGTTAATTGGCTGTTTCCCACAACTTTGCTAAATTCACTTTTTTTTTTTTTAGATGCAGTCTTACTCTGTCACCCAGGCTGGAGTGTAGTGGCGTGATCTCAGCTCACTACAACCTCCGCCTCCTGGGTTCAAGCGATTCTCATGTCTCAGACTCTTGAGTAGCTGGGATTACAGGCACCAGCATGCCTGGCTAATTTTTATACTTGTAGTAAAGACAGAGTTTCACCATGTTGCCCTGGCTGGTTTCAAACTCCTGACCTCAGGTGATCCACCCACCTTGGCCTCCCGAAGTACTGGGATTACAGGTTTGAGCCACTTTCCTGGCCTAAATTCACTTATTAAATCTAATAGTTTATCTGTCTCATTGTCTTATTCTGTTCTTAGAGGGAAAATTTACAAAAATTCACCTTCATACGTTTGCTGTGG